GATAGTGTTGAGAAATCAAGAAAACGAGATCAGAGTCCCAGCAAAGAAAAATCTAAGAAGCGTAGCAGAAGCAAAGAACGTTCCCACAAACATGATCACAGTGATAGCAAGGACCATTCTGACAAACATGATCGACGAAGGAGCCAAAGTACAGAACGAGAGAGCCAAGAAAAGCAACAGAAAAACAAAGATGAGACTGTGTGAATTCTTTCAGAAGTGGATCACATTGAATCCTATAAATGTTTGATTAAATCCTGCTTATTTTTTCTTAAAGTTGAGATTGTGCAGTAGTTGATGAGCACTCTTCTCCAACCTCCCTCTAGGCTGCAGATTGTCATTTCCTATTTTGGGTAGGGAAGTGCCTTTGTAAACCCATTCAATGCATTGACGGTTTCAAACCATTTGTTTAGTTTAATTTGTAATGCAGAGATTGTTCTTGCATTTTTATTGTTCAGATGTTTCTGAAATGTACAGTCTGTACATATGTCCTGAAAATGTTTTCATTCCTTTGGCATGGTTGCCATGTTGGTTAAATTTGTATGAGGCAATAAACTGCCACTAATTATACTTTCCTTTTGTAGACGTGGAATTATGGTTTGTATCCTGAAGTTAGCATGGCTGTGCTTTCCATAATAGTATGGCTTTTAGGGATGGATCTGGAATGTGTATTATAGCTGAGATATTTATGTGCGTACAATGTACATTGAGGGCTGCAGATTTAGAACTAACATTTATGTCCACTGTACCTGCTGTTTTGTCCAAAACTTTTAAAATGTATTATGTTGATCACCAGTGGTGTTAAATTGAGTGAACTTTCAGAGATAGTGCTTTTGATGCAAGGATTTAGATTATGTTGGAGCTTGTATAGTAATTCTGTAGAAAGGCTACCTCAAGCGGACACTGTAAAGGTTGACGGATGAGTACCGTAGCCATCTATGCATTTTATTTGTTTGAAGAAAATCCATGTAGGCTTCCACTATTTTCTTCTTAAAAACACAGTTTATCCATTTGTGGTCCTTTAATGTTTTTAAACAGCTGCACTCTGTAATTTCTGATAATCCTGGGCTAATAAAGGCATTTAAGATGGAAAGAGGGAGGTAGGAAGAAGAAAAATATTACAAAGGATTTCAGTTTCAAGCTTCCAAAGCATTTTTATAAGTGTAAACATTTAAAATAAGAATTAACTGATAGTGTCCTTTTTTAATTCATATTTTCTACAAATAGTAAAGATCACAGTTTGTGCTGAACATTTCATCTGGCAGATTTTTTTTTAAACAGGTTGTTAGAAGCAAAAACCAAAATGCATTATAGAAAAAGATGGTATCATTGAAGTCCAAGTCTATTTCATAGATTATTCTTGATGACTTGTATACTAAGTGAGGAGCACCATCTGGAATAAACTCTCAATTAATTCCTTTGTATTGAGTGTCAGCTTTTCCCTGCATGTTCATTGCCAGTTAAAGAGCGCTTCAGTTCCTCCACATTTTATTTTCAGATTAAATAACACTTTGTATGAATAAGGGATTTTATGTAATAAGTAACTTACAACTTAGATGTAGCAAATAAAAGAAAAGCCACAGCCCCAAGATGGGAAGAATATGAAGTGGGAATCATGAAGTAACCTGAGGGTAGAAATAAAATATTTGTGCCTTTTTTTGCTTCTGTGTGATGCAGGTCATGTAGGCATATTTCATTTTAAATATCCAGGGAAAACTGTTTTGACTTCCAGCAGTATACTTCATTCCATAGTATTCCAAGAAGCAAATTTCTTTTCCTTCCTCCCTGCTCTTCCTGTTTTCTGAACTGTAATAGTCTTTATCACCATGATCCTTAGTAATCAACATTTTTTACTACTTACGTTAAGGTTGTCTGCTTATTTTTGTGTTACCTGATTTTAAATCTGAGTTTGAAACAAAACTTCAGCTTCAACAAATTCATTCCCTTGCAACATAAAGCTAAAATACTGAGCTTTCATTTAATATAGAAGAAGAAAAGAAATACCCTGTCTAGTGAGTTACTAGAACTGTCTCTGCAGTCTGCCAAGGGATTGCATGGATTCTGTCCAAACAGTGAGGACAACTTTAATTTATCATGTTTGTGTCTAGAGGGCTGCTTTTGGCCGTGTTTTTAACCTTCAGTTTCTGAAACAAATATGTTCTTGGGCAGAGAGGCTGCAGAAACAGTGTTTTGTCAGGGGAAATGGATTACTGATTTCCAGTTGTTCCTTCAGGGCTCTTCCTCCTCTTCTGAGACTATTGGGCAATATGAGTGGTTTATTTGCAGGAAAAAATGCAGGTATTTGAGAGACAATCATTAACCTGAATGTGGACAAGTTACGTCTCACTACAACGATGGTGAACATTTTGATACAGCTTGTGCAAAGACTGTCCCATCCCAGTATCTTTTTACATACAAGTGCAGTAATTTCAGGACTGTGCTTTTATTTTCCTATTTATAAGTAGTCTTTTTTGACCTCTGAATTTAATATCAATATTACGTACTTGAGTTAGCAGTGTAATGGACAGCACAATATTCACTGCCAACCAAGACCTGTGAAAATCACTTGAACCAAGACACCTATCTGAAATTATTGTTGGGATTTAGTATCATACAGCTCTTCAGTTTGTATCCAGGTTCTCTTAATTGCTTTCTGTCTTTCTGATGCCATTTTATTTTGTGTGCCCTTCCTTAAAAAGCAGAAGGAACTGCAGGGCTGTGAAAGCAGCTCTGATGAGCAGGGGTGAGGTAGTGGAGATGCCAGTGCTGCCCACTCTGGTGCTGTTGTTGCAGTGCAGTACAGCTGTACTGGACATTCATCTTGGGGGCATTAGAAGAAAATTTCTGCCAATTTTAGCTGGAGGAGCTGTGGTTGCAGAGTTGTTGTCTCACAGTCTGTGCACTCACTGTTCAGTTCTCAGGGTAAATAACCATGACCGAAGCACTATGAACCCAAAGTTTCCATGGTATGCTATGTGTCCATAATAGCCTAACTGGGATAGCTATCCTTGTGAAGCCTCATCTGTCTTGGAAATTTCCTGTGGCTCCAATGCTCAGTACTGGGATAGTAGTATTAATAGCCTCCTACAGCATACAAGTTCCCCTCTTTAGGGAACCTGAAGGAATTTGATGAATTCTGCTGGCTTTAATGTTTGGGCCCTTTGCCCCACTATGAAGCCGCATGTAGCTTTAGGTATGGATGACTGCCAGCTGTTAGGCAGGGTAAAACAGCATCTAAGTGCCACTCTTGATGTTTTGCAATGAGGTTGTCATTGTATCTATTTTCACCAGCAATAGTTAGATGTGGTAGAACACTAGATCTCAGTAAATTTGGGTCAAGTCTGTAATCAGCTGAAGGGTAGGTTTTTGTCAGTTCCTTCAGTGGATTGAAAACCTATCTAAGTTTTGAGCTATTACTTCTGTGTCAGATGCAATTAAAAACAATGTGTATTTTAAATAATATAGATACAAATTTTTTTGCAAGTGTTCATAGTTGTGTAATTTCAATGTATCTTTACTATTATGCACTGAATTTAAATTTTTTATTAAGTAAGCATTAATGAGGTCATCTGCTGTGAAATAACCTAGGTGGTTTTAATCACCTAATTTGTTAGTTCACATGATTTCACAGATACTGCTCAGAAAACATCCATTTTAGCATATCCATATGCTGCCTACCTCCAGGCCTTCAACAGGAATTTTCTTGGTTCTCGAGTCTTCTTTCAAGAGGTTGTGGGGTTGGGTTGCTTGGGGATTTTGGTAGGACTTTGGTTGGTTGGTTGGTTATTTGAATTGAATGAGGGTTTTTTGCTTCATGAAGTCCAGAGCTTCATAGGAGTAAATAGTACAGAAACAGCATCTATAAAAGCATGGCATCTGATCGTCCTTTCCTGTGGTCTGAAGTCTGCATGACCCATAAAAGTATGTTTACCTCAGTCTGGAGAGAACATGCAACCAGTCTTGACCAAATTTTTTAATCAGCTCAGTGATGCCAGTGCCATTTCACATAGTGGTGTTAACTATTAGACACTGTCTAATGGCTAAATAACAACACACTGAGGTTACACACTGCCATAGTAGAAGGTGTGTATATGGCTCAATTTCATTGTGTTGCTTTTCCTCCCTGTTTTGCTATATTTGTTTTTGTATACACCTGCTACACACTTTTTTAGAGCTGAATCAATGTGGTTTTTTTCTTGAAATCATGACTCCTCTTCAGCTTTTTGCCTTTTTTTCCCCAACATACATACAAATAATACATTCTGATAAAATCACACTTCTTTTCAGTGACAAAAGGGAGAGGAGCTGATGAAAATAGTACTACAATGTTGTTTGTAGAGTGTAATTCAGGTGTTAAGGTCTGTGTGCCAGGGAGAATTAAGAAAACATACACCAACAGTTTAGAATGGCTTAAAGGACATTAGGGTTACTATTAGAGCATGAAATTATCAGAATTGCTTAGGTGGAAAGAAGTGGTTTGGGGTTTGAATTTGGTTCCAAAAGAAACCAATTGCTTTAGATCTCTGAAAACGCAGTTTAACACACTGTGGTGACAGTGTTTGGCAATGATGTCTGCAAAGAAGAAATACTGAAATAAAACCCTCGAGGAAGAAGGCTGTTTAATTTTTATTTTTTTTTTTTATTAAGTGAGAAATAAAACCAACTTTCTATTAACTAATGCAGGGCAGTTTTAAATAATGTTTCCTAAAGAAAGACTTGTTTGATTGTGACTTTTAGTCAGATGGTGTTTTAAGAAGCAGCATATAATTCCTGGGCCCTCTACAAGCAATTTACTGAAGTGTGAGATTCCCATGAGATTTTTCCCAAGTGATCAGAAGCATTGTCTGAGATACTTAACACCTAATGTGTTCTCTGAAGAAGGGCAATTTCCAGAATGGATTGTGTCTGTTTTTATAAACTGAAAATAGTGCTAAAAACCCTGTTGTCTTTGGATACCTTTATACACGTGAACTTCTGAAGACTGTGTTAGATTACACATGTGTTTGTAGAACCATTGACCTTAAACTTTGCTTTCAAAGTCGGCTGAAAAAGTAACCACTGTGCAGTACTGAGAGAAGGTCTTGCCTGGATGAGGTCTCAGATATGGCTAGGTCTTCAGCTATCCTCCCAGTCCTCAAGAAGCTGTGAATGTTGCAGTTAAGCACAGACGTGTCTTTCCAGCTTCAGGGATAAAAAGACTGAAAATAACATTTAGGGAGAATGGTGTTATGAACAACCTTAACATCCAGGATAGCAGCAGGTGAACAGCAGCAAAAATGAGATCAGCCTTAGGGGGAAAAAGTCAAAAGTGATTTCTTGCCATCCCTCTGAGACAGGAGCAGAAAATAGTACAGAACACCAGGAGAAAGTAAATGAGTGCTGAAGAATATTTTTATCTGTTTGGATTTTAAGGGCTTTTTTGGGGAACTGTAGCATAGTAAAGTGAAGGCTTAGTGAAGTGAAAAAAGGTTGTTATAAATGGGGGAGAGGACAAATCAGTAGTGCAAGCAGAAATAAACAAGAGATTTCAGATGTAAATATGGATTTTAACAAACCACTTAGGTTTATGATATACAGGACTGGTGAGGCATTTTCCTCTTATCACAAAGATTTAATCAGCAGGAAAAGTTTGATTCATGCATTCTAATATGAATTGCAATTCTTAAATCTTACCTCCTTATCTGAACCAGAATTTCATCTACATGTGTTTCGCATTGCTCCTTCCTCTATAAATAACTAGAAAATAATTTGGAAATTAAGACAATTCCAGTTATGGAAAAGCAACGGTCTTGAGAATTTTTTTTTTTTTCAGTGGCTGCTTTTGAAGTGGTTTCTAGCAGTTTACATAGGCAAATAAAGCACTATCCTGCTGGAACCCAGAAGAAATACTGGTAGAATAGACTGAGGTAAGCCACACTGTTTTTTGGGTTTTTTTAAATCTTTTTGAAAATAGCAGAAATGCCACCTAGCTTTATTTGTAATGGGATGTGGGAAGGCTATAAAAAGATACACCTGCCTTTTATTATGTGTTGTCAAATGAGTAGTAAGTGTTGTGACCAAGCATGATAGTATGCAGGCCACAATATAGATAAGGTTTTGGTTTTTTTTTTAAAAAATTATATATTATAAAGTGGGGGAGAGGATGAGATAAACCTGCGTAACACTACCAGAAGCCTTGACTATCAAATCTATATGCTATATGCATCTTATTTGAAGATTATGCAAAAATACTTCATGAACTTAATGAATTTTTAATTAATGTACTGCTCTTACCCATTCCAACAGAGCTTCCAGAACAGGTGACTGAAATGACATGAAAGTGGTACAAGTGTTAGGTGTCAGGTTTTAAGCTGGAAAATTCTAGTGTGCAGTATGTACTCCGTCTATACTACTATGCAATCCCATCAGGTAGCAGTAGTTTTATAATGGATGAAATCCATGCCTTGGGAAAGGCAAAATAATTTCTTCCCCTTTAAACAATTTGTACTTTAAAAATGTGCTTAGGAGTGATTAATTGCAGTTATTGATTTGTTTCTTTATTTAAAAAATACATTAAAAATGCTCATTTATTTCTTCTATATTCTAACCATTCCTAACCTCCCAACTGAACATTACCTTTTCAGTATTCACCAGGATATGGGTGATCCAGCTAAGAGGCACCTGTGTAGATAAATGTGCCCAGACCCAAAATGCTGCTATGAAGTTCCCATCACAGATACTGCAAGACTACACTCATAAAGTGTACTCTGCAGTCAACACTAGAGCAGAAAAGTTCTATTCCATGCCACCTTTACCCGCATAACTTTGGATTACCTTTTAGCCATCTAGCATGCATGGACCAAAAAAACCCAAATTATTCAAAGAAATTTAAATTCTACCTGAATATATTTTCTTGGGACAAAATGTGAGTTTTGGCCCCTTGTCAGTCACTGGAGCTACCACCACAGTGTAGACATCCCCACAAGGTATCTTGGTGATGTCACAGTGACTCAGACCTGAGCTGGAGGTACAGCTGAAATTGGCCTTTGAGCCATGTAAATTTGCATTGTAGTTTATTGTTTCATCAGAAGCTTGCCAGAACACCCTGATGCCATTGTTGCCGAGTCTATAGAGCTTCACCCCAGAAGGGCAGCAAGCACCTGAAAAAGTAAGAAACATTAATGAGAAAATTTTGTGAACTCACAATGTGTATTACAAATTTCTAGAGTGCAGTTTAAACCAAATTACTATGATTGTCAGCATTTCAAGGAAAAAATTATTATTTCACAAAGCCAAAATAATTCTTGAACTGAACTAGGAGAGAAAAGTTAGAGTCATTTTATGGAGCTGAAATTCAGTTATTGTTTTACACATTGGAATATTGTTGCTCTCACCTGGCATAAGACCTACCTTAAAATGCCCAGAATCCTTTTGAAGTCTCTAAAATTTAATTATGCCATAGCATAATTTAAATTAAAAAACTATTTCTGGAGCAATATTACTAGAACTTCTTTATATGGCCAACTGATGGGCAGTCATAAGAACAGGTCTTGATTATATGAAAATAACCCGAAGTGCATTTATTTAAAGAGGGAACTGCAGGTGTATTAGCTGTGTGTTGAATTTAAGCTGTTATTTTTATGAGAGGAACACCACACAAAATACGTTGTGTATCGAGTGTTTTTCTTCCCAGTTGCATTTACACATTACGTACTAGAAGAATATCCCTGATAGGTGCAGCTGGATGTCAAACCAGTCTCAGTAATGGCTCTCAGAGACACTGTATAGTTGGTGTCACATGTGATACATCCCAGGAGACAGTAGGTCTGAAGTGTGTGACACTTTGCCAGTCCTTTTGGAGACTCCAGTATTGTTATATATGTCTGTGCACCCCTCCCAACAGACCAGCTGATATTGGTTACAGACTGTGTCACTTGAGTTAGTATCAGGTCATTAGGGCAACAAGGAGCTGAAATAGAACAAAAAACAGGGAAGTGAATTCTGTTTTGTACCTGGAAAATGGAAAGTATTTGGAGGGTTGCAGGTAGAATAGTACATGATCAAGAGTAAAGGAATGAAGAAGTGTGTACTTTTCAAGCATGCTGAAAAATATTTCACTCTGCTGGCAAGCCTCTAATAAACAGAATGTCAATATAAGAGGAGTTTGTCCCTAACTGTGGGTTAGAACCCTGGAATTATTAGAAAATGATTGTTCACCAAGATTCTAAAAATTACTAAGATTTTTCATCAGAATATCAGAATACATCTGTAGTTTAATTAAGCAGGGAGTGTCTCTACCCCTCAAGTCATATATCTCAGTCCAGTTCCGTCTCTGTTTGAAGTCTCTTCTTCTACAATGTAAAATGACTGCAGCCAAACTGCCTGTTAAAAATAGACCCTGGTGCATATTAATCTCTGTACTGGGCCTGGGGATTGTCTGGAGAGGTGGTAGAAGACAAAACCTATTAGCAAATGAATAGCAGGAATAGTGGGTAGGATGTGCTTTAATCTGTTCTTTACACTGCTTATTTGTTGACATGGACATTACCTCATTGCCTCTCCTGGTAATGCTAAATATCAAAATGCTGACAAGGAACTTGTGCATTACATTAGTAGCTTATGATATTACATTTTAGTTAGCTGTGCCAGAAGATAATTGGTTGCTCTAAGGCCTCAGTCTGAGGCAACTGCCAAACGACCCTTCCTTGTCACACACACAAATATACAGACAGGTTTACGAAAAGGACATCCAGCAATACAGAGTACAATGTGCACATAATGTAAATAAAAAATAGCCCAAACCATAGAGTCTTAGAACTATTTTATTATTATACTGCTATGTTGAACTATATACAATTCCCCATACCTGTCTCTAAAGGGATACTGTAGCTTGGCAAGCTCTGTCCTGCTGGTGATCTTGCTATAGCACTTACAGAGAAAGCAGATCCACAGGGAAGATCCATTAGGGTACAGGAATTCCTGGTGCTTGTACAATGCCAAAGTCCAGCCTCTCCTCTGGCAGTGACAACATATGTAGCTTCTTCATTGTTAGGTTGCCACTGCACACTGATTACAGATAGACCCTCCTTTGAAATATTTTTTATTTCAGGACTGCAGGGAGCTGAAATATTTCATATTAATAGTACTTAAAGAGATCGTTTATGCATATTATATAAATTACATGTGAAAATTAAATTCCAGTTAGAACTGACAAATTACTTTGGAAAATTATATTATTTTTATATGCTTTACTCCTGGTGAGAATTTAGAAATTGTGACAGAACATAAAGATTACATAAGGATTTTGGGAATAAGTTGTAATTCTAATTTTCAAAATACTGGACCTATCAAAAGCTTTCAATACAAATTTGATGTAAGTTTCCTTCTTGTAGTGTATTCTTAAGAACTTACAGTTTTGGAGTTGCTGGGTTTTTTGGGTTTTAAAAAAAATTTTATCAGTAAACTCGGTAAAACAGTTAAATAGTAACTTAGCACTCCAGTAATGGTTTTCATCCATGAATCACTGGGGTGTATAATAATGATTTCTTCAGCTAAAGGAAAATGAATGATCACACTACCTGTCGCCACGTACTGAGGCGCACACGAGGTGTTGCTGCCGCGGGCCTCGCTGAAGGAGAACACGGTGATGTTGTAGGGGGTGCTGCACTGCAGAGCCGACAGGGTGCAGGCCGTGTCCGTGTCCCTGCAGAGCAGCACACCGCTGCGGCTGGCTGCTCGGGTCTCGTACAGGTCAGCGCCTCGCACAGGAGCCCAGGTGACCCGCACCGTGTCGCTTGACATGAACACGGCCCTGAAGTCACTGGGGCAACAAGGAGCTGCGAACGGAAAAGGCAGACAGGGAAACCCGAATGCGAGTGGAAAAGTGGTGCAAATAAGAGTCTTGTTTCATTTCTTTATGTCTTCTCCAGAGGTGACCAATACTGTGCAAACAGTCTAATAAACCCCAGATTTACTTCTTAAATTGATGCGGTACCACTCCTTCCAAATCAATAGAGGACATACTAGTGTTTAGGTCAGATACAGGAATTACGTATATCCTTGGTTTAAAATTTAAAAGTCTAGAGTGTTCTTCTCAATTTCCCATTGACCTTAATATATTTTTAATTTTCAAAGTATGAAAACTCCATATGAGGAAGTTGAAGACTTTGGTACACTCTTCCTGAGGTAAAACTAAAAAAAAAAAAAACCCACCCAGACAGAACTAGAGTTCAAATGTTATGCCAGGTCTGTGTGTTATTCATATGTCCCTTGCCTGATGATTGTGAATTGCTAAACTGTTTTCACATTTTGTATGCATGTTGTTGCACTTGACTATGCAAGTTAAGTTTAATTGTAATGTGAACTGTTTCTTTTTCTCTGCTGACCTTTGTGTGTTATACCCAAAACCTGAATAAAAATAGAAGTTTAAGTTGTTACGTTCCTATAAAAATGTCCAAACAGCTCTACCATACAGTTAAAAGATCCAAGTGAATTTTCAGGAATACATGGTTACTTACTAGTAGTGTAATTGAATACATCACCTAAAGGACTCTGCCCAGCCTTGTTATATGCAAAGATACTAATGAAATAAGTGAAACCACAGTCTGACTGGAAATGGCATTGAGTATATGATGTGTTGCAGTGCACTTCCAAGCCATCATCACTCTTCACAAAGACCACATAATAATGACCCAAACTGACGCTAAACCATGAAACCAGCAAGTGACCAGGTTCATCCTCCTCAATTGATATGTTTACTGGTGCACAAGGAACTGAAAAAAAAAACATTAAAAAGAAAAAATTCTCAATGCAATTATTTTTTTCTTTCTTGAAGTTATACTCTTGGGGAATAAAGGAAAATCTGGGACATATAGATTATTGTACTCAGCTTGAACAGTTGCTCTGTCACGATTGAGAAAACAGCAACTTAGCTGCCTTTACAGAGGTTGTTGCTTATATTTAGACAACAAGTGGGTTTGATTTTTACAGAACAAAATAGATGCTACCATGTTTTACAGAAACATCTGCTTAAGGAGCCCTCTGAACAAAAACAGTGACACCAGACAATATTTTGAAAGGAACTGGCACAGTGTGTGCTCACAAATAGTAGGTTTGGATGATAATTTGAATATTAGCATGAATAGCAGTTGGCATCCAGAAGCCTCTATATGTGAAAATCCTTTATACTTTTGTATAAAGTTTACTGGCTGTGTCTGAGTAGAACTGTCCTTTACTTAGGTTTCTTTTCTGTTGGCATTCCAAAATGCCACATTAAACTGTGAACTCCATGGCTTTTGTTTAAGTAACATTTACTTTCTTTCTAGTTCAATAAAGTGCAGCTTGCTGCTATTTGAATATACATGGTCAAGCTGAAGCAGTGTTGGCTGAGATTACAGCCCACAGCTTAATAGTTCTCTTGCATAATGCTCTCTCATCCTGTTGGATGCACCACAGAATTGCTCATGATTCATCTAACTCCTATCAAAAGTCAAAATGAGGCAGGTTACATCAAATGACTAAGTAAATAATGTTGTGTATTTAAAGTAACATATAATAAAAAGGAATTGCTTAGATTTTGATTACTTGGGCAGCTCATCTAAAAGGTCAGGAAACAACAATCTCTGACATGGCAGTGGTGCTCAGTGGTGAACTGAGCAAATTCTTCTCTTGAATATGGTTGATGGTTTCTTAATTTAGTCTAGTGGTGTTACTTTGGCTGAATGTGCTTTTGTTGATCCCCTTTCTAACTAACAGCTTGGCGTGGCCCAGAACAGTTCTATGCTCAGAGGCAGTTCTTAATGCCATTTCCTCACAAATTTGTTCACAAGTTTTTGTCACAGAAATATGAAGAATGTTTAGGCTCTTACCCCTGCAATAGAAAAGTATATGGCATAATTAATGGACAAAGTTCAAAAGCAGAACTAATTGAGAATTACCTGTGAATTGCAATGAACTAATTTATATTTGAAATTAAAGAAGTAGACATTAAAATGCCATAAACTACGTAAGAATCAGTGACACATACTAGTCTTTAAGCTCACTGCATCAGTAGGTTCACTGGATCCAGCATCATTGTATGCTGTGACAGACACATAATATTCAGAGCCGCACTGGAGGGATGGCACCATGCAGGAGGCAGATGTGTTACACCTCAGTTTCAGGAGTCCACTGGAGACTGTGACGCTGTAAGTTAGAGCTCCTTCTGATGGCATCCAAGAGACAACAGCTCTTAAAGCACCACTATTGAAAGCTACTTTAACATCCACTGGTGTGTTAGGACCTATGGTATATCAATTTGGAACACATAAATATAACTTAGATTATGGACTACAGATATGATTTCTTTCACAACTTGCAAATTAAATGCTTTTTTTTTTTTTTTGGGTGCAAACCTTACCCTCATTCATGTCAAAATGACATTTAAAAAAAAAAATAATTGTAGTTGATCACTGCTGAAACTCCCTGCTTATTTATTTGCTTCTCACAATTAGAAAAATCCTCAAAATCAGTCTGAGCTTGTGTAATGTATCCAGACCTGTCCTCAGTACAACTTTAGTGACAGTAAATTGTATCATTGCGTCAGTAATGTTCACTAAATATAGCCATGTTATCTGACCTTTCATAAACCTTGAGATGGCGCAAAAACATGATCTGAAAATTTACTCAATGTATCTTTGAAAAACATAATACAATTGCACATACACATAAATGCTTTCTGGTATATTGTTACTGTGTTGTTTTTGGAATGCTGACTTGGTTTCAGATTTCTTACTTGTACTTTGGTTATATGTGAAATCATCTCCAGGCATCCCATTGGCATTCCAGGCGTAAGCCCTGATAGTATAGAGAGTTCCTGGATCTAGATTTGTAAATATCAAGGAAGTATTGGTGGTGTTCTGCTTCAGCTTTCTGCCCAAACCATCTGACCTCATGAGTGACACAGAGAATCCAGCTGCCATATGCACAGCTTTCCAGCTCACTGCAATGGAGTCACAACTCAGAGAATGAACAGACAGAATTGGAGCAACCAAGACTGTTGAGAAAGAACAAATTACACTTTTGGTTTTCCAGTAGGCCAAACTTAAAATGAATATACAGAAAAAACAAACACGAACCCTGAGAGCAAATTCAGTGACAGAAAAAATAATTAATGCAAGAACAACAGAATAAATTTGGAAAATTATTTGGTGCATCAATTATTGTATTGCATGTTTTGTGAAATGAACAAAAGTTGTAAAGAAAGTGTGAAGGGCTGCATGTGTTGAAGAATGAAAATCACCAAGAAGACACTGCATTTCCTGTCCTCTATATTTTGCATTGTCTACTATTTTATACTTTTGGTTGTTTCTTCATTTCTTCTATTCCTTCAAGTTATGCCCTTTGTTTAAGTCATATACATATATTCATAAAAATTCTAGTGGAACTCCCAACTGAACTTTTAACTTACTGCACCATCATAAAGTAAACCATTAATTCAGACTTTTGTCCTGGTCAATAAGTCAGATGGCTGAATTCTAGTCCTCAAAAACTGAAAGAAGAATGTGATCAGTACAATTTAAAACAAAGATTATAATAATTCAGGACTGGTACATGCATGAATGCTTTATGTTATAATAACAACATTACAGAATTTGAAATAAGATTTTGAAAGTCCACCTGTTTTTACTTTTCTGAAAGGTGAAGGCTGGCTTTTTCCTCCCGAATTTATAGATCTGACTGTGATTCGGTACAAGGTGGCAGGCTTCAGTCCCGTCACTGTGCCTGGAGAATTTTTTACTATAGTTTCAACAAAGGAATCTCCATCTTGTGCAGTCAGCATGTAATTATTAGCCCCAGGTACTGCTCTCCATTCCACTGTGATGCTGTTGCTAAGTTTTGAATAAGCTTGGTCAATAACAGGTGTATCTGGAGCTAAAGTGGAAATAATGATAGAGATAATGAAGTTGGAAAACACAGTCCTGTGGGATGCTGAACATTTCACAGAGACAAAATGTAGGACAGATAATCTACACTTTCTATGAATGATTAAAATTTAAGTTAAATGGACTTTAAGTGAACATTAACAAAATACACAGAATCTTGTGATATTCTAGAAAATTTCATCTTTCCATAAAAATACTCTCATACTCTGAAATCATTATTTTAAGACCATTATTTAACCTACGTTGCACTGAGAGGCGCTCCCTTAAAACAAATTAACTATATTACTAACTTAAGCAATATATACAAAGAAAAAGTGCATGTTTATACAAAGCAGTCTGAAATAGGATGCTGAACCATAGGCATTTCTGTATCAAAGCAACACACAATCTATCTGGAAGGGATCACGGGAACTCACCTAACCCCTTGATCAGAGCAGATATACTTAGGTATTCAATAACATGACAAATCAAATATTGTAACAATGCTTTGGTCTTATGCTCTGTCATTCAGAAAGAGTTCTTACAAAACTAACCACACATTGTATTTTTTAACCACGAGTAATTTATGTTCAGAAGTCAGGATTTTCATACTAAAATCAGCATTTATAAAGCAATTACACATATTGCAAGGCTGCAATACACTCACTAGAAGAGAAAAAAGATAAAATGAAGGTACATCCCACATAAAATTAAGAAAAGGAATGTATAAGTATTTGAGACACAGTAGGTATCTTGAGGCAAACTCGTTCATAGCAAGGCAGTTCATGTGGGATTCAGGAGACCTGAGCAAGTATTATACACAGCTGCTCAGCTAAGTACTAACATCTATCTGCTATATATTCTCTACTTGACTGTTAGACAAGTCTTAGACCTGGATAAGGATTTCTTGCACAGAAATTTTTATGAATTGTTATCAAAGACAATATTTTAAAACAAACTAAAAAAATATGTAGTACAGTATTTTGCTCCACAATTTGAAAGACTCATCTGCAAATGTTCCATAGGCATGGTTAGACAGAATAGCTGGGACCATTTTTACAAATGGGGCAAAAGAGGGTGTCTGACTGTAACTGATAAAGTGTTTGGGACTAAGAGCAGACGTTAATGCTTAGTTGAGTAGCTGTGTATTAAATTCTAAAACATTGGAAATAGTTGTGCATAGGAGATTGTGCTTCTTCTGGTGTGTTTTTTTGGGGTTTTTTTGTTTTGTTTTGTTTTTGTTTGATTTTTGTTTATTTTTGAGGGATTGTGATGGAGTTTTCTTTTGATGTTTCATTTGTTGTTTTTTTTTAACTATTAAAATATACAACAATTAACTGGTTTCAAATATGGGACAGTGTGAATCCCATTTGTACCAGAGCTATGTAATGAACAGCAGAATTTGTTCATCTGAGTGTTCCCCCTGGTTCACACTCGTACCAAGGCATGAGTCTGAATATTTGCATTAGTGTCCAACAGAATTGTGACCCCTAAAAATGAGATAAAAAATTTATAAAGACATCAATGTAATTTTTTAAGCCTAAATCAAACATGAAAACAATTTTTGTTTATAAAGCTGCTAGAACTTACACAATATTTTTTTAAAAATCACAAGTGGGTGTTCTCTTCAGACCCATTCAAAAATAGGCAGGCAAAACACCAAAAAATTTTTTGAATATTTACCTGTGTTTGCTGAAAATATCTGAAAAGGAAGATGTAACAAAATTAGAAAAATAATTTTATTTTATTACATATTTTATTACATATTTTATTTTGAAATTTAAAAATCTACGAATGTTAGTAACAACAACCTAAAATACTATGTTTATGAACACATTTTACTGCTATGATGTGTTTGCTTAGATTCTTTAAGCACGGAAAGAATGCACAACTAATGAGATTTGGTACAGGTATGCAGATTGTACTGCTTCTGCATTTTCCCCTCTGAACCTGCCTATTAATCCCGTTTGCAGTTGTTGACACACTTTGAAAGTATTTTTCAGTCATATGTAAACAATGCAACACTGTGATAGTAATGAAATGCCAGTGTGGAAGCGGATGTCTGATAATGCTCCACCCTACCTTTTAGTTTATTTTTCCGAAGAATACAGTATCATCGCTAGAAGTAGCTTTACAGCAAGTCTCACTCACCATTTCCAGGCAGCCGAGAAGCACTCCAGTAAACGCCAGTGTTTTACGTTTTGCACTGTACATCTTGCCCGAGCTTCGTTCCAGCCTCACACGGGGGCGAGCTGGGGCCGATGGCCAGCGCTGTTTCCCAGCGGTGCTGTCACTGCAGGCGCACCCCCGGGGGAGAGGAGGTCGCGCTGGGCTGGTCGCTCCTCCCTGCAGGACCACAGCTGGACAGCGGCCACCAAACCCTGGTGACACGGGGTTACCACAGCACTCGGCTTCTGGCCGCATGGCTGGTGGGGGGGTCTTCTCCCTTCTGCTATAGGGTGCAGATTCTGTATGGTTTATACAAGACTCATGAAATAATTAAGCTAAACGGAATTTGTTCTTCGGCTCATTGTCTATTGCATTTTTGCCCACTGACAAGGATCTTCTTTTCTGTCGGGAACAATGCCATCATCGTACTCCTCTTTGAATGGCACACCGCCATAGAGACTGGGAACTAACTATTCTTCCTCATTCCTGGAGTTGCGGAAAGAGAAATTTTCCTCTCATTCCTTCATATTTGTTCCAGCTGCTGGTTCCCCTTTGAGAACACGACTCTATGTTTCAAACTGACAGGCGATTATAGGCGTCAACAGCCGCTATCGTTCTACGACCGGTCAGTGTTTTCGTCGGTGAATTACATGCATGCCAGCGGGAGCCTATGGGCCGTTTTCGTGAGGGAGCCCCCGGTTTTCCCTCGAGGGGACCCGGGACTAGGGCAGGTTTCGGCAGCCACCCCGGCCGGGCGGTCTCCAGCTCCCCTCTGCTCCTCACAACTCGCCAGGGGCCGCCTCGGGGGTCGGGAGCGGCTCCCGCCGTCCCGGGCTCACCTGAGCAGCAGGAGGCTCCTTCCTCAGGGGGCGAGCCCTCGTCCCCGGGCACTTCCCCAGTGGGAGTTTTGGACCCCATGGCGGCCGACGAAGAGAGCCGGCTCGTGGCGGGCTGGTCCGGGCTCCTGAGGGGCTGATCCCGTGATCGGGCTGCGCCCTCGGCCACCGCCCCTGAAGAGGGAGGGGAAGGCAGCGCTGCCAGGCGGGGCTGGCAGCAAGATGGCGCCGGCGGTGCGGGGGCTGAAAAGCTTCGTGTGGCAGAGTAAGTGACTGTGGGGCTCCTTCCCCGTCCCTGCGGCGGGAGCGCCCTGGGGCCGTTCAGTGGGCGCTGACCGGCCAGAAGCCTCCGCCGCTGAGGCGCCGGCTCCGCGTAGCCCCGTGTGTGGGGTCGGGGGTGCCCGCAAAGGTGGGGTCCGAGGCCGCTCCCGATGCAGCCGGAGCTGCGCTGCGTGTCGGAGCTGAGGCGGCCGAGCGGGGTTGGGGTCAGGCCCGGGCGGTTCTGTGGGCAGCCGGTGTCCGGCGGAGGCTGTGGGTGGCGGCTTCTGACGGCTATTACAGGTGGTGACTCGGCGCGCCGGTGGGGAGTGGCTGCCCCGTTGCCGCGGGTGTCTGCAGTGACAGCGCTGCAAAGAGACGCTTGTGCTCTTTTCCGAGATAAGGGTGAGCTCTGCAGGCTACAGCCCGCCTGACGGGCTCTTGAAGAGTCTAAACTTAAGTTAGCTCTTTAAGTACTTCTCTGTTACCTCCGAGCTGCTACTTTTTGAGAGTGCTCCGTTTCCAGAAGGGGCTCTCTGCTCTCTCTCACGGAGCGGCACTTCCCACTTGTGTTTGGCTTCACGGTTTTCAGTAGAAAAAGCTGAAGGTGTTCCCAGGTAGTCTTACAAATGAACTGCAGATATTTATCTCCGTGTTTTGGAGCGGGTTCTGCTGGTGTATATTACAGAAAATGAAGTTGTAACTGCTCCCTTCCTTGCTGGAGTAGAAAGACTTACAGTATTTCAGGTAGCGTGAGACCTTTGGGGAAAAGGCATTGGCAGCCATCTCATCCCGAGCTTAATTGCACTGAGGTTGTGACTCCATGAGCTGCTCAGCCAGCCTGGCGACTGTCATTGAAATGGGGAGGTCCTGCTGCCGTCTTGTTTTCATTTTTCTCCTCTGCTTCCACCTGAAAGCTGATTGTGTCATTAAGGGCCATCAAGACTTTTGAAAATGGTGTTGCCAGCGTGAGGAACAAAGATTAGAGTGACAGTGAAGCCATGTGAATAATAAAACATTTTTATTTCAAGCTTAGTTAAGAGGAACTTCTGAAATGAATGCTTTGTTAGTCAGTTAACTCCTCTTGTCTTTCCAAGACTACAGCAATGAAAATCAAACTAAGTTTTAGATGTTGTCTGGCACTTTTTTAAATGAGTGATTGAAGGTCATAAACTGCTGCTTCCTAATGTTTCAGCAAACATATAAACTGGGATTTTTATTAAGGCTGATTTGTCTGAAAATAGTGATGCTGATGCTTTATGTAGCAGCTTGTGTCAATGTGTATCTTGTTCCTGCTCTGTAAATAGGCATAGAAGTTACACCTGTGGTGTATGGAATTGAAGCAGAAATGTGTGGAAAAGTTAATTCACACAAGTTTGTTGTCAGTTAAGCTCACAGTTATGAGGACAGAGAAAGCTACCTTAGGAGACAGTTGCTCTCTCCTGTGGATAAAATCATGAAATGAGAGCTGCTGTATATAGTTAATCTCTATATGAAGTCCTTTCCACAAGGAATTCTGTTTGGTTTTTTTCCCCCAACTTTAAATTGTTTTGTAGACTTGTATAATAAGTTCTTACCTAGCCATAGATAGCTATATTAGTTTTTGTAAATGATTCAGCATTTCTGCAATTCTGTTTTTTTGTAGTACTTGCTTAAGTCCTTTCTTCAGGAAGTGTGTTATAAACGGGTCATTAATTTTGCCAAGGTGTGGTTTGCTTCTTTTTTTTTTTTTCCACACAGGGACTTGTCAGCCTGGTGTTCTGTCAGTGTTGTCTATAGTTCTTTTCTAGATGGTGAAGTAAAGGTAGAAGAAGAAAAGCCTTTGTAAACTAATTGAATGTATTCAGAGAAGACAAAAACTGAAGGGTAGTTAGTGTGTATGACTGGTATAAAATCTGTGAGAAGAAAATGAAAGCCTGAGCAAGAATAGAGTGCTAACCTGGGTTTGGTTTTGGTGTGTGTAGAATGCTTGCAGGAGAATAATTATTTTGAGAGCCTGTAAACCGTTGTAAGCCAGTTATTTGGTTGAAGCAGCTGCAGGTTGAGGGCATAATAAATAACAGCTGGAATAGTGCAGGGGCAAGTGCATGGTGTCTGGCTGTTAGCTTGGAATAAACTTTCATTTTATTATGGGAGAAAACTGACTTCTATATTTTAATTGCAGAAATGAAGTTCAAGATAACTGAACTATGCATTTTTATGTTCTGGTGTCTTTTATAGGCAAATATTGTAGAAAAAATAGAATATTTGAGATTTTGGACAGGATTGTTGAGCACTCAGCTTATTAAAAGGAATACTATGTAATGCTAACGACTAATTGATTGGCAGGAGTGTGCTCAGAAAATACGAATGTTAGTCAAGTTTTCATGTGGTTAAAGAGTTATTACACCCATGTATAGACCTAGAAATAGGCAGGGATAGTTTGTGGTGAAGAATTCTGTGCTGGTATTTATCAGGATGGGTTTTTTTCTATTTTTCTTTTTAGTGCTCTGAACATATGAATCTAAATGGATGAATTTTTTTTTTTTCTTTCTTAGTAATGATTTGATTCCCCTAACTGGTAAGCTGTTTCTTTTTTCAGAGCTGAAATCAGCAGTGTTTGATGACTTTAGCAAAGAGGAAGAATGGAAGGTACAATTTTGTTAAATTTTTTATAAGAATTCTGTCATCATTGAACAAGAAATCTGTATTGCTGAGTAAAGAACAAATACATAAAATTAGTGGCTGGCATTTTCACTTCTGTTCAAGTAATAGATTTTACTTTTAGTAATTCAAATCTCTGTATAATACATATTGGAAAATGTAGAGGCTAGTACAGGAAGAACAAATTGTTAGTAGTCTCTCTTTTTTTTATTAGTTGTGAAGAAAAATTAGAAACTGTGTTTATCTTCACTTTCCTTTTGAAGAACTTATACTTTATTAACTTCAAAATTTACACTGCACTGCAGTACATATGGAGCAGGATTCAGCAGTATGATACCTGTTAGAACTGCTTAAGCTATAAAACAGTTTTAAAATAAATACAGATATATTTGAGCAGGTCATGTGGTAAATTAGCAGGAATTCAAAAGACTTGTGTCCAAGTGAAACTTTCGAAATACTTTCTAGTATGTACGGGGAACAAAGCACATATTTAAGATTGTCCTCATCTTTGGAAATCCTGTACATTAGGAACTGTCTTCTGAGATTAATTTCCCCCTGCAATATTGGTGTATGCAGGTAATGAAAAAAACAGTAATGAAATAGCTTTAGCTTCAAACTTCTATGGCAAGCTGTTAAGGAAATGACATGGGTTTAATATAGCTGATTAATTTATCTAAATACTTGTGTGTTTTCTTTAAATATGTTTAGATAATGCTTTTAGATGATTACACTACTAAATTACTGTCACTGTGCTGCAAAATGACTGATCTACTGGCAGAAGGTATCACAGGTAAGCATAATTCTTATTGATACACCAGTGGAAATATCTTGGTAAGAAAAAGGGAAAGACTGAAATTGATTAAATTGATAGTACCCTTGCAAGAAATGGTCTTTATTTGGCTGATGAAGACAAGTAGTTATGGGGTATTAAAATAGTAGACTTTCAGGCTTCTACAGTAGTTAGTCAATTGGGATTTTTTTTTTTAATGAAAAAAACCAATGTTTCTGTGTCTGAAAGCTCAAATCCCCCTTTAAAATTACTTTTTTCTAAAGATTGCTCTAAGAGTTTTTTTGTTCGATTGGGTTTTTTTGGTGGTTTTTGTCCTTTTATTTTTTTTTTTTTGTTTGGTTGTTGTGGTGGTTTTTGGTTTGGGATTTTTGGTGGGTTTTTTTGGGAGGTGGGAATGGGTGTTTTTTTGCTGATGGCTATTTCTGAAATTGAAATAAATTCCCAAAATGTAAATGAACTGGTTTTAATTAGCTTTAGGTCTAGATTTTCAGAAATGCTTGTGTAAGAGGGCATTGTTTAGACTTAGTTATTTATTCCACGATACTATTCTTGTACCAGTTATTCAGCATAACATGATTATTCTGGAAATATCATAGTAGAGCTCTGGTAATTTTGCTTTTTGGTGTGTGTTTTAAATTGTAAGTGCTACTTATCCTTCATGAGAAACTTTTGGTGAGCATGTATCCTCTTCATCAAGAAGAAACCTTTTATTTTTAGCGGGCAAACTGCTGAAAGGAACCTGTCTTTCCACATCCAGATGTCTGACATTACTTATCTTTCTTGTTCCTCCCCCATAAAATTTTTGAGCCACAAGAATCTCTGCATTCTCAAGCTAGTGTACTGTAACACTATACAGTAATGACTTTGTTAAACAGAGAAAAAGAAGAGATGAATGAAGCTGATTTGCTGAAAATGTCTTCATTTGTGCCTGCAATTATGTTGAAAGAGAGTAATTGCCCAGGAAATAAACAAAGGACAGAAGAGGCTGTAGTCCAGAATGATGCCCTGCATAGTTTCTCCCTCTCCTTCAGTGTGCTGGAAAAAAAACAATCTTGCCAAGAGAGTTCCTAGTGGGCCCCGTAGTTGGAGTATGTTTGCAGTGCCGTTCTGTTGTAGAAGTGTAGAATACCTAGGAGGAATATAGTCCTACAACTTTAGTTGTCACTAGACTGAGAGTCGAGAAAGCCTTGTGGTAACCTTCTGTATCTAAAATAACAAAGAAATAAATCAAGGCTCTTGGCAGAAGGTACGTCCTTACCTCTAGTATTGGGGACAACTTGACTGCTGTTACTTAATTTTTATCAACTCTATATTAAATATGTGCAGTATTTTCCTTAAAGATGCATAATGTTCCTAATTATAAAAATGTAGTATTTCTTACT